GATGGCGGTAGTGTGTAAATGTCAAACGCAAGGGTTATTGGCTTTGGGCGCCACAGGTGGCTGTTCTACCATAGAGGTAACTCTAAGACTAGTAGGTCCCGAAGAAACGTGCTCAACTTTTTGGCTCAGCTCTGGTACTATCTTCGGTCCCAAGCTAATCGATTCACCCCTCGAAACATAGGAAAATCCACGAACCCCTCATTTTATCTGTCAAACTTTCATAGCAAATCAAAACAAACATTGTGTAGTACTAGAATTTCGACTAGAATGTGGTACGTTGATCGATTTGCTTGGGACCAATAGGCTAGTCAAGTAGTGAGCCAATTTAAAATCGGATAATTTCGCATTGATTGTTGGTTCTACCAACTAAAAACATTTAAATTTACCGTTAATGCTTGTTCGATGAACAAATTGCCAGTGATCTGTATGTTTGTCTGTGCTTTAACTAAACTTATCTTCAGATGAATAATTCAGCTATGGAAAAGCTACGCAATAGATGAATAATTTTGAATTCTCATTTTTTCTTAACTTTTAACTTTTCTAACGCCGTATGCATAACCAAAGTTATAAAACATACTTTGTTCGTAAAATAAAAAAAATATGAAACCATCATTTTTCTAGTTCTCCTATTTGCCACAAGCGGCGCTTTATGTTATCGTTAGATTCCTCTGTTCAGATAGGTCTTTTTAATAGAAACCAAGCGATCGATTCAATCTCTGGTGGTGAATAGAAGAACGTCAAAAAGAGTGTTGTGAGCAGAAATTTTTCCCATGAGACATAGAAAGTGGAACACTTTTTCACTTTTCCTGATAAATTGATTCATCTGAGTTGCTCCAAAAGTTGAGCTACAGTTGAAAAATTGAATTATGAATCATTTTTATAGAAAATAATAAATTAGAATAGGGCCTTACTGGTTATGAATAATTTAGGTGCAAATCAGTTCAGCTCTGTGAAAAATCGTAAAATAAGACAGTTACTATTGGAAATTTGTAAAATATTCAATGGAAAATGTTTTATTTTGCTTTGTGAAAAATTCTTGATGTAAACAAAACGAGTTGGATGACGTTTCCTCTCGAACTCGCTTGGTGCACTCTACACTGGTGATGCATTAAAAAGACCTATTGTTTATATATGCCAGACCCAGTACAGTGCTCACAATCAAATTCTTGAATAGTTTGCCAAACCGGTGATCTTATAATTATGGTCTAATACACCTAATGACTTTTGGTCTAATGGGCCTAATGACCTAGTGGCCTTAACCTCTACAATTATTAGGGTGGTATCTATTTTCTCCACCCAGGTTAATTGATTCAAAATTACGATCAATCAATAAGGTGATCCAAGAGACGTTTCTCAGTGGAACTGACAGCTAGAAATCTAGAGTGTGTAAGTGATCTGGTGTTATTGGTGCTGAATGTAAACATAAACAAAGCAGACATTCATATGAGAATAGACTGCCCGTTCTACTGTGATCTGTCAAAAGTTCTTGGTAAACAAAAAAGTCAGCTGATCACAACTGTCTCGTGAACAGCCTTATAAGGGGTTTTCAGAAAAGTTATTGCTGTGAGAATTTCACATACGTACAGATAACAGGTTTATCCGTTAATGATTATGACGAAAGGCTAGGACGAGGAGCACAAAAAGTTCACTTTTCCCATAGTATCTTCCAAGGCCCAGTGCAGTATGAGATCGCAAACAAGTTTGGAAGAATGATGGAGACCTGGTTTTGAATCGATGGAGCTCGGGTGGAGCAAAATCGATGATTTGAATCACCCTAATAGTCATGAAGCAAATCATTCAATTGAACCCCATTTAAACTTAACCACGGAAATGTTAGACGAAGTTTTGATCACATAAAAATTTAAAGTTTCCCATCGAATCGCCCCTTCGCACGAACATTCTAGATTCGCAAATTAACGAAGCCCAGCTTTCGTACCCGGTTTGTCTAATTCCTGATGATTTCCACGCAAACCGTGAGAATCAATTGTATCTGCGATAGTCGTCGTCAGGTTATTAATAATTTATTCGGTAGCGTGAGTAAGCGGTGTACATCCAGGTGGGTAATCACCTGTAACAGCAGGTAACAGTTTGCAGTAGTGACGCAACCGACAATGCACAGTGGTCCAGAATGCAGATTTAGGTGGAATGATATGTTTTGAGCCTGAAATTGAAACATTAGACTAAAAGTATCTTCTACAAAGTTGTTCCTTATAGTTAGGCCCTCATTTTTATGACAATGAATTCTAGGGTGGTTCCTATTATCAATAAAATCAAAAATCTAACTTTTTTGTTTGAATAAATTAAGGTATACATTCTTCTGCGAAGTTATAGCTGAGCTAATTTCAAGCAACTTTGTTGAAAATAACTTTTTTGTATCTCTTAAATTGGCCGATTTAGAGCTATTTTCTTGAATTGAGTTAGGGTGGCTCTTAAAAAAACAGTTGTTTTGCTCTAGTTTTCTTATTTCGAATTTCTCAGCAAAGGTGTCTTTAGATAACTTTTAGATCTTAAAAAGGCGCAATTTTTTGCTGCACAAAGTTTGTCAATATCTTTCGTCGATCAAGAGTTATTGACGTTTTTATACTAAAAATATGCACTTTTCAAATGTTAATATCTCTGGTTGGGGCAAACAAAAAAAAAGTTTTTTTACGGCATTTGAAAGGGCGTATGTTATTCTCAATAATATGACAAAATTAGAGGTATGTTATTTTTTAAACTCGTATAAAATCAATTTGAATTTATTCATATTTTTTACTATATTTGGGTATATCTTTTTTATTAGAAGAGATACATGCAACAAATTCAGCTATAAAACATTCGTCTTAAAGAGTTTGAAAAGTCTCTATAAGATGAATTTCATGATAAATTTCAAATAAAAAAGTTATTGGCAAAAGATGGATTTCATAGGACCACTCTAATGACAAATTTATATAAATTGTGCTTGTACATTTGTTTCAATATTTGGACATTAAATGTCTCCGGAGAAGTTTTTGTTCTTAAAAATTCCCTTCTTTTGGTGTTTGCAAACGTGAGGGTGGTCCTCAAATTAGGGAATTTGTGAAACTAACTTTTTTGTTTTACAAAATAAAAACATGTGTTGTTGAAAAAAGTTGTAGCTAAGATAATTGCAAACAACTTTGTCGAAAAAATTTTTTTTCTATCTCTTAACGTTCTCATTTTAGAGTAATTTTTTTGGAGTTGACTTAGGGTGTTCCTGGAAAAAATAGGTTTTTAGCAATAACTTTTTTATTTGAAATTTCTCATGAAAGTTATCTTATAAAGACTTTTAAAACTCTTTAAGACGAATGTTTTATAGCTGAATTTGTTGCATGTATCTCTTCTAATAAAAAAGATATACCCGAATATAGTAAAAAATATGAATAAATTCAAATTGATTTTATACGAGTTTAAAAAATAACATACCTCCAATTTTGTCATATTATTGAGAATAACATACGCCCTTTCAAATGTCGTAAAAAAACTTTTTTTTTGTTTGCCCCAACCAGAGATATTAACATTTGAAAAGTGCATATTTTTAGTATAAAAACGTCAATAACTCTTGATTGGCGAAAGATATTGACAAACTTTGTGCAGCAAAAATTTGCGCCTTTTTAAGATCTAAAAGTTATCTAAAGACACCTTTGCTGAGAAATTCTAAATAAGAAAACTAGAGCAAAAAAACTGTTTTTTTTTAAGAGCCACCCTAACTCAATTCAAGAAAATAGCTCTAAATCGGCCAATTTAAGAGATACAAAAAAGTTATTTTCAACAAAGTTGCTTGAAATTAGCTCAGCTATAACTTCGCAGAAGAATGTATACCTTAATTTATTCAAACAAAATAGTTAGATTTTTGATTTTAATGATAATAGGAACCACCCTAGAATTCATTGTCATAAAAATGAGGGCCTAACTATAAGGAACAACTTTGTAGAAGAGACTTTTAGTCTAATGTTTCAATTTCAGGCTCAAAACATATCATTCCACCTAAATCTGCATTCTGGACCACTGTGCAATGGTATTCGCTTTAACGATTCCAATTACTTTGAACTAAGTGCAAGTGGTTAATCAACCAGATAAGACTGCACTGAGCCTTGGCAGGGGACACTTCTAGCATCAAAAGGGTGAACAGAGATACAACGTGACAAAATCAGGTTCCAAGATCAGCAACAACAGAGGGCGGTTATAATCCATTAATCACGCATGCCCTACACAGCTGCTGTGCTAATCACAGCTAGAGACCATGTGAAAGGTCAAGCGACAATTTGTCACTCGGTTGTAATTGACATTCAATAACGATCGAAGCGCGATGCTAATTGTTACCTTCCAAGGTGTGATCCAATGCGACCAGGTTGCATCATTAGTGCAGTGTTAAAAACGTTGAGCTAATCTGCGCAACAACATTGTGCTCAAATTTGCTATGACGGTCATCACATCGGTCATTGCAATGTGAACAGCAGAAAAAACTAGCAAGTCTCAAGTGTTGGATTCCCTACTATACACAATATTTGATTTGGGTTTCGCTTGAATTTCGATTTCTGTTTGCCTTTGACTGGCAATGAATGAGAATCATTTTACGGGATTGTTTGCCATTCCCATTAACAACGGGGATGTGGTTCATAGGCGAAGTGAGGCTGAGGGAAGGGAAGTTTTTTTTAGAACTGAAACATAGTAAAGGATAAAAACTACGCATGTTATTCAACAACAAAATTTGGATATTATCTTACAATCCGATTGATCTTCTGCTAATGAGCGAGAGGGGCACCCTCTAGTTCCACCAGTGGATAGGAATTTGAAGATTCCAAAGCCAAGGCACGCAAGTCATGCCGCATAGCTCACTCTGTGAAGATTTTCGTCTGCCGTATCTCAACTGCCTACCACCCGCGAAGCGAAGATACCTCTTAAAATTTGTAGAATAATTTGTTTTTAAATCGTTCGGCATTAGAGCGCCGATCACTATAAAGACCTGTACCTGATCGATAGTTTTTCTCATTCTTTTTCAGAGTCAAGTTTAAAGAAGAGCTAACATGAAATCGCTACTCGTTGCTGTCCTGGCGCTGAGCTGCCTCTATCTGTACGCCGAAGCTACCGTAGTCAAATCCTGTCCATGTAAGAATTCAAGATTTGTTTTTGTTGTCTGCGTTTCGAACGTATTAATAATGGAAATTTTATGCCTACAGCCACTAAAAGTCTGATCCCCATAGAGCAGAACACGATCGACATCAGCAACTGCGTCAAAGGCCCATGCAAGTTGAAGCGCAAAACCAAGGTCGCCATAAATCAGAAATTCACGCCAAGTAAGTAATGATGCATTAAGCTCCAAAACAAAACAGTGCAACTAATCTATTCTGCGTCTTCTCTTCCGCCACAGCCGAGGACATTAAATCACTCACGACGACCGTGTTTGCTCAGGTGCTTTCGCTTCCGCTGCCGTTCATTGGAGTCGATGGAACCAGTGCGTGCGACTTCATTTTCGCCGAAGACGGTGAAACCAAGCTGGGCTGTCCGTTGAAGGCCGGCGTACCGGTTGTGTACAGGCGCGAGTTCCCCGTGCTGGAAATCTACCCGAAGATGAGCTTGGTCGTGCACTGGGAACTGCAGAGCCGAGGCTCCAAGTCCATCACCTGTTTCGAGGTGCCGGCGAAGATCGTCTAAGGAAAGATTGTTCTTTTTGACGACAATTTTTATTTTGAAAGACAACTGTGAGGAATATCGTACGTTTAAACACAATAAACGCGGCTTAAGTGTAGTGATATGGAACTTTTATTCATGACAACATTCCATATGTAGACGACTCTTCTTAGTAATTACGCGTCCAGATATCATCAACAGTAGCGCACAACATCCGCCCCCATGTCGAAGCTCATTCAAATCAGTCCACAATGAATCTCCTGCCCGTGTTCATCACCGTTTTCAGTGTTTTGCTCCTCTATCACATTTTCAGTTCGAAACCCACCACCATCACGTTCGAACGCATTGAACAACTTTCCGGGGCAGATGTAGCCAACTTCAGTAACCTGCAGATCCTCGGAGCTAACGATACCGTACAGTTTGTCAATGGAACGTGGGAGCTGTTGCAAGATTTGGACAACAATTGGATTTACTACGAACGATTGTATTATCAACCTCCAATGGGAATGTTGGGATCAGGAACGTTCCATCCAATGAAGGTACCGAATCGATCGTTTCGAGTGTGTGACTATCTGAACAGCGATCAGTATCGGATCTGGTGGGCCCATAACCGATATACCAGCAATTATCCAGCGCCACAAACGGAAAGGTGGTTTTGTCCTTTTCCGAAGGGTGAATACCGTGTGCTCTCGATGGCTCTAGGGATTGAATCTCCACCGTTGCTTGCAAAGGCTGGGCTGTATAAAATTGAGTTTGGTTTGGTACATATTGGTTTGGTGCGAATGGTAGGTTTGTTATATTTAAGAATTGAACCTTTAATCACTAATTATCAAGTCGGTGGATAATAAATTGAAATAAACTCATTCCGATTTGTTCTCTTCTTCGTGACCAATACACGGTGTTACACGGCTAAAAAATGTTTTCAAGTGATCTACTGAAGGTTATTAGCTTAATCGAGTACATCATGAAATCACAGTGGAAATTGTTCTAATACTCCTATTATTGTTAAAATACCAATTTTTCGTAAGTGACCTCATACTATCATGAGTAACTTAATCATTTTCTAAGTAGCTCATCACATTTTTTAGTACACGCTAAGAGAAATACACTTTAACTATACAATACATCTTAAAACTAAAGTCAAAAGGTACAACACAATAAACACTTTATCTTCCGGTATCCAAAAAGGCTCCTCCATCAGAACTGGAGCCGCTTCCAGTGGTTTCATTGTATGGCAGTTACGTCAACGAGGGTCAGAGCGCTTCCATTGCAGCAATGGACGCAAAACGTGGTCAGCACTCACACATTCATCAGGAAACGGTTGCTTTCCAAAGTCGACGACGCATCGACCGAAAGAACTGCTGATGAAGAACAATGAGGAGGACCACACAATGGTTGCTGCCGAGTAAACAGACGATCGCGTGACACACATCGAGAGTGGCCTGCTTTTGTCGACAGCCGAGTGAACACAGCACACTACATTTGATTTGACTTCTTTTTGTCCGTTCCACTCTTTACTTAGTGATTCAGCCTGAATCCAAAGGGCACATCCCAATCTGTGCCGAAAGCTACACTCAAAATAATCGACACGTTATTGTTACGTGAAAAATCACGTAGGGTATCTCTTTTTACTTTGCTGTCAATTTTACGAGGCCCAAGTAAACGCTACATGATACCACTTATATGTGAACCGAAATTCCTTTCGAAACCGCCAGAATTTTTAATGAAGTTTACGTGATTTACACATACACAGATTCTATGTGCGTTTCACGTAAACCCTAAATGATTTTCACGTTTGAAAAAATAAATGAGTTCACTCATATTGCTATTCAATATGACGCTAGTTCATTGTGCATGTTTACATGTCATTGAAAGCCCATATTGGTTTGATTTTTATTTTTGTGAGGCAATATCGAGTAGTAGGTATAAATAATTAAAATTTTACATGGATATTAATTTAGGTTGTTCCTTTTTTAGTATGACAACAAGGACCATCATGTATGGACTTCAAATCAAGTGGAAGTTATAAGCCGATGCATTTTTGTTAGTGTTCCTGTTTCCGGTCCTTGTCTAGGTCGAATTTTATTTCATTATATTTTTAAAACCGATGTGTTTTTTTTGTCTATTTATGTATATTAAGAAAAAAGAATACATTTTATTTAAATCAAATCGGCATTAAATAATCAATTGCAATCACCATGAATTTTATCGGAAGAATCACATGACTTCTACGTGATAATCCAGTGACGTAGAAGCTCACTGAATTGAGTGCCTCCATTACAGTGTTGGAAAAATCATTTTCAAAAAAAGTTCTATTACAGCTCATTGCAGAGATAAATCCCAAGGGAACTTCTCACAAAAAGTTCGCGAAAGAGAGATGATAAAAAGTTCATGAAAGCGTAGAGCGAGAGATCTTTCGTCTCTCCATCTCACATCATTTCACACGTACTCGTGATTCGAACCAACCAAATTTTCCCTCAGCTTTGTTCTTTTTTTCCAGCGAGTAAAGGTAGGCGATGATCACGCGAGAGTGTCTGTTTGTTTTCTTCTCGTTCTCTGATATTTTTCGCATCCTTCACATTAAATACCATTTCCAGAGAACTTTGAGATTTGGGCGTAATTGCTTTTGTAAACAAACACGTCATTCAACGATTTCTCACGAACCAAAGCACAATCTAGCGAACTATACTATACCAAATGAATCCTTCCTCTACCTGTCTGTGTTGTTAGTTTTTTAGATTGAACTTGATTTCACGAGAAATCGGCGAATTAAGTGTGTGCTTACAAAAGAAATTGCGCCCTAAAAGTTTTCCGGATTTATTTATAGTTTTAGTTCTCAATGCAACCAGCTAATAGTAGATACTTGTAACTATTCACCAAGAGTCTAATATTTGCTGACCAAATCATCATTTGTGGCTGTACTCTTCGACAAGAAGAACTATGCTATTAGTGCGAAGTACAGTTAGACCACTGAGATTGGCGCTTAGACATGTTTAGTGTAAGCTAGTAAGCATTCTGTTGATTAGTATTACCAACAATCAATACGAAACTAACGATTTTAAATTGGCTCACCACTTTAGTAGCCTATTGGTCCCAAGCAAACGATTAACGTACCCTATTCTAGTTGAAATTCTATTACTACACTATGTTTGTTTTGATTCGCTATGAAAGTTTGACAGATAACATCAGGGGTGTGTGGATTCATGCAGAACATGCAGGGGTGAGTGAAATAGTTTGGGACTGCTTGGGACCGTTGTTCTGGTACTGAGTGAGCCAAAAATAATAATGATTTTCTTCGGGACCCAGTGGTCTTAGAGTTACCTCTATGGTATTACCAACAATCAATACGAAACTAACGATTTTAAATTGGCTCACCACTTTAGTAGCCTATTGGTCCCAAGCAAACGATTAACGTACCCTATTCTAGTTGAAATTCTATTACTACACTATGTTTGTTTTGATTCGCTATGAAAGTTTGACAGATAACATCAGGGGTGTGTGGATTCATGCAGAACATGCAGGGGTGAGTGAAATAGTTTGGGACTGCTTGGGACCGTTGTTCTGGTACTGAGTGAGCCAAAAATAATAATGATTTTCTTCGGGACCCAGTAGTCTTAGAGTTACCTCTATGGTATTACTGCATTGAGAACATGCTTATTAGGGTGGTTCAAAATATCGGCTTTGCTTCACTAAGCTCAATCGATTTTTAATCAGGTCCAGATAATTCTCCCAAAATTTGAGCTTATTGGGTTGTGATCTCATTTTGCACTGGCCATCTAAAATTTATAAAGGTATTACTATGCTAAAAGTGATTATTTTGTTCACCTCGTCTTTAAATTTCACTATAATGATCTACTAATAAGTTAGCCTTGTGTACTCATAGGAAATTTTCTCTCCTACATTTTTTTTCTAAATACCACTTTTTAATTGAACGTTGAGGAAATTAGTTATTAATTGATTTCTAATCTGCTAACTTTCTGATTTGATCACTCGACTGCATTAGGTAGAGGGCAGCAATGTAACCCAGTAGCGGGTAGCTTGAATTTTCACACAACCTTGAATGAAAATATTAAATTTGCTGGTCACTGGTGCCATAAAGCTACTGTAACTTTTTTCATGGATCTCAAACTGCAAAAAAATCTATTAAACATCGATTCTAAAAAAATAGTTTACTTGATAATTTTTATTCAGCAGGTGTATTCACTTGGGAATCCATCACTTCGCAAGTTGAAAGTATTTTGAGGTTTTCTGTTAATTTCAAGTCTTGCAATACTTGTGGATGAAAAATTTAGATCGTTCTCAATCTGTCACTATATCAAAAGCTCAAGGAACATGGTTACTTTGATTAATTTTGTGTTCATTTCCAGCCAACTGGTAACAATTTTTCGTTTTCTTTTTTTCTGCCTATATTTTTTACAGTTTTAATGGACATTGATTAACCTGTTTAAATTTTTTATCATCCTAAAATGCACACTAAAAAGATGTTTTTGTCAGATCCTTGGTCAGCAAATAAAGCGTTTTGAAGTTCAGCAGTGCAGCAGTCCCGCATACCTTATGGTTTTACATAGGGAGGGTCTAGACCCTTTCTAGTTTTACATTGTTTTACAAGGATTCCCAGTAATGGGAGAGGGCAGTAATAGCACAGTGAAAAAGTTCACCACCACCTATATTCCCAACCATCCCCTCCCCCTGCATATAATTATTGCATAAGAGCTTACTGGAACGATATTACGAACACTAGTGATGAGAGGAGCCATGCATTAACTGTATTTCGCGAAACTGAGGATACATTAGGCGCTCCTCCTTCCGCACCCCTCCCCCCTTATCCTGAGGAACGGTTTTAATATATAAATTGCCAGTCACAAAATCTTACACTACCCTCCCCGTTCCTCGTTAATGCCGCGTTGACACTTGTGCTGATTCCTTTACTTTTTTCGCCAGAAAACAATGCACCAATCAATCAGCTGCACAAAACTGTTCACATCATCCTGATAACCGTTACTTTAAACAACAGGCGCCAGTAGACAGCCAGCTACCAGACTTATCAGGCTTGAGAGATTGTATTGATTTACTCGGGATAGCTTTCTGTCTATAATCTTTCCCTTG